ATAATAAAAATATTCTTATATTTACTTAAAATTTGAAAATACCATTGCTGATATAAGATATTTTGAAACAATTTTTTTAATGTAAGCAAATATGTTTTAGAAACAGTTGTAAAACAAACTATAAGAATCTATTCTTTATATTCTTTTACTCTTACATATTCTGATTCCTTATCAAGTATATTTTGAATTTCTTTTATTAATATTAAAAGTGATAAATTTGAGCAAATACAATCATGAATTTTATGATTCAAACTTTTAATTCGTTGAGTACTATTTGCATCTACTATAAATTAATTATTTGTATAATATATAGCTATTTATATTTAAGAGGATCTAATTGTTTTTTTATATAATTACTAACTAATATATATTTTGATTTTAAATGATTCTAATGACTTTCAAAAGTGATAAAACTAATGTATTTCTATATTAAAAAAATTTTTGCGAAATGTTTTAAATTCATCAAAACTCATCATATTCTAAAAGTTTTTTTTAATTTAGGTTAATGTGAAATATACACAAATAATGAATAAATTCAAAAAGTTCTAAACCTATTACACTAGCTATTGTTAGATCAGAATCAGTAAATACAACTTTTAGCAAAAGATTTTCAGTATATTTTTTAATCATACTTAGTGTTTAAATAAAACACTTTTCTGTTTTATCTTCAAGTAAGACAGTTGTAACAAATTGTGTACAATTACAATTATTAATAATAGCAAAAAACAAGCTATCATATTATATTTATTAGTTTGAAAAGTGATATCAAAAAAAAGAATATTATTATAACGTGTTTATAAAAATTGTTATTCAAGTGTTATTCCTAATAAGCTATATAGTCTCTTTTCTATTTCATCAAATTTAGATTCTATAAACTAACGTGAATCATTAGATTATTTTGAATATAAAAATCTCATCAAATCTGAAGCATTAAATTCAACTTTTGATATTAATTTCTTTTTTGCTGCTTGAATAGCATATATAAACTCTTTTAATAGATGAATTGTTCTAAAAATTTATCCTTTAAAAATTGATTAATGTTTTAAATATATGTTATACTATTTTGTACACAAAACTCTATAAATTAAATCGTATCTTCACTAAGTTTATAATACTTTGCAATGTTAGTTGAAGATGAAAAAATCATTGAATAATTATATTTATTAACAATAATAGTAAATGAAATTACAGAAGAATCCTTTGAAAAGTTTTCATTAATTCTTCATTTACAATCTGTTACCTTAGAATGTTGATTTTGTTATTCAGTTAAGTTCAATACTTTTTTTAGTTGATAATTACCTATATAATCACATTTCTAACTAATTTTACGTACTATTTTAACATTATTGTCAACATTATTAATTAGACTTTCAGTTCATTTCCTTCTTATATTAAATTCTTTTTCTAAAGTATAGTTATTCAAAAACTTTCAGCTTTTTTTCAAGTTTGAAAAGTTTGACCTAAAGATAATTTTAAAGAGAAGTTTTCAGTATTTTTGAATAAGAATCAGTATTATTTATAATATTATAATTATACAATTTTGTGAGTTGTCAACATAAAGTATTATTTCTTCAACATTCTGCTCATTTTGAATGGAATAAGAATCAAAAATATATGTTGATTCTATAATAAGAATTTTGTATAATAAGGAAATGCTATATAATGAGAAACAATTTGTGTTTTACGAAAAATTTCTAAATGTCATGTATAATAAGCTTTTATTTGATAAACAGTTACATATTATTATAATATCACGTAAGAGAGGAATTTTCCTACTCTTTCCCTTCCAATTAAACATAATTATTTTCTTATTAAATAATAAATTATTTTTAAAAGTTTAAAAATTTGAAAATTTGATATATATTAATAATAATTAATTTTTAAAAATACTATTATTTGAAATAATTATTTTTTTTGATTTTATATCATATTATTATTGGTTAAAGAAAGTAATGTTTTTGCTATTATTTAGCAATTACAAATGATTTTCTTAGTTATATTTTACATATATCTGCTAAATAGACAGTTTCTTCTAATTAATATATTTACATTCTCAAACCATACCTTGAATTTATTGTTATATCACATGAATGATTACAAAATGGCTCAAAAGTTTGAATATAGATAAAATATACTATAATAAAATTCATTTTTGATGAATCATTAAGTTAGATCTGAATATTAATACAACCAAGGATCAAAAATCAATTGATAAGGTGAATAAATTTTCTGTCCTCTCCTCCAAAATCTTTAATACAATAATTAATATAATTAGAATTGCCCCCAATAGGTGCTTACAATTAATAAATAAGCTACAATTGATTCTAAAATTATTTGTAAAATTATTTGTAATAAATAAGGAAGGTGTAAATGTTCCTTTTTTAATTGAGATACAAATTAGTCTCATTTCTATGTCCGAATTTGAAACTTTCCAGCTTTAGTTAAACTTCGCACACCCTTTTAAATTCAAATTATAAGTTCATAATGTTATTCAAGTAAATAAAGTTCAATTTAACATAACATACCTTATATGGTTTATATCCTTCATTATATATCTTTAAACTATCGACTCTAAGTCCCGATATAGCATACATATTTATTGAAAATTCTAATGTAATTGTGTGTCCTGATTCTGGCGTTTGTTCACTAAAGAACAATAATTATATGTAATTCTTATTTTCAACATATATATATTACAAATATTATTTTAATACTTACGGACTATTAAAGTTTCCGGATAATAAAGGTCTATCTTTAAGTTCTATCTTACCTAAATCCCATCTAATGCTCTTTAAAAAAAATTTATATTAAACTTTACTCTTTAAACAGTTCTACTGCATACTACAAAATAAACTCTCGGTACACTTACTTTTGTGACGGGATCAAAAATATATGAACCAAGATTACATGTAGCATTTACATTCGATACAGATTGTGCTAAAGGAAATACTAATAAAACATTTTCTACTGGCTTTCCATCTGTATTTCTTATATTAATTGAAATATCAAATTTACCTATTTTTTAAAAAAAAGTTGGTAAGATAAGTGATAAATCCACAACAAATAAAAGGAGAGCATACCGCCATTGTTTCCAATATGTATTTGGGGTTTTACATATACGGGTAAAGATTGATGATGTGGCAAATTTACCCGATAACTCATTAATTTAAAATGACCATCAGGTGGTACAAAAGAAAGTACACGTTCATTTTCAAATTTGTTATATCTAACACATGGATGAAAACTACAATCATCCAATACCCTTGGATTTACGAAATTTAACGTAAGATCAGGCATTCCTAGATTTTTTTTTATTAAAAAAAAATTTTCAAATTAATTTATTGATTAACAAACATTATTTAAATGATAAATTAAATAACCAACCAGATAAACGACAATTTGCTTGTATTAACCCATGGGTTTCAGACGATACTATGGCACCATTTCTAAATTAATTCAAAAGGAAAATATAAAACTTGTCCTAATTTCGCTAATTAATTAATTATTAGCGTACCTATCTACAATAGCATCTATCTCTTCAATAACATCAAAATATATCTCATTATTCGTATATTTTACACCAGCTTTTCTCCATGGGATACTAGATATAGTACTTCCACTAGGAATATGCTGCGTAACACTAAAAAGTTCAAAAACTAAATAAATATTCGATAAATAATTTAAATAAAATTTTTTTTTTGAGATTTTACCTTGTAACTCCGGCAACTTGACTTATTACTTTATTTATTATATTTGGAGGTATAATCATTTCCTTCAAAGCATTAGGTTCGGTAGTTAATGGATATCCTAGAAAGTAATAATATTTATACATAAAATCATTATTATAAATAATTCAATCCTTTTTATTCACTCATTAAGGAATCATCTGAAACAATATAAATCATAGAATTACCATAATCCATCATTTCCTCCAAAAGCTATTATAAATTAAGAAAATTAAGATAATAATTTATTTATGTATTAAAAAAGGAACTAATCAGATTATTAGTTATAAATATATTATAAATACAACATCTATTTTATAATATAACCTGATAAACGACATCAAAATTATCTTTGATTGAGATCTCAGACATTTCACCAAAGTATTCTGCTAATATATCTACTATCCTGTGAAGGAATTCAATCACTAATAGAACATCAACTATATTTGTAATATAGTTATACAAATTTTATTAAAATCAAATTGTTGAAAATTTGGTATAATACAAAGGGGCGTTCATAGTCACCTTCGCTAGAGACAGGACTTAAAAACGTTAAGTTAGAGCGATAAACGTGAACCAACTGATATTTTGGTGTCGAAATAACTGGTACTAAGTCTTCTGGGGAAGACTGTTTAGATACATGGTCATTAAAATAATCAACAACCTGGCGATTTATAAGTCCTCGCCAATGTTTTTCAATAATTATTTTTCTAAGAAAAAAAAAAAAAAAAAAAAAATGTAACGGTATATACATATTTTTTTTTTCTTAAATGAGAACATTCCTTACCCAGCAGTATTTAAAACGAAAAGACTGTCTATCATTTTGCAAATAACAAGAGAATCGATAAAATTTAAATTTTTATTAATCACATCTCTTTTGTGGGGTGCAACTAAGAGTGCAACAACAACATTGAAAAAAAAATGAACAATCGATCACAGATCATGTTACACGATACACAGTCGACAATTATTCATGTGACAACCGAACTTATGTAAATGTCACGTGAATCGCAATTACTGTCACACATTGTATTACATAGAATGACGATAAAATTTTTTTTTCCAAAAAAAAATCTTTTTTGAGAATTAAAAAGTTTCTTTTGGTCGGTCATCCATACTGTTCACCTGAAAGACGAACGATTTTGTAAGGTTTGCATCAAGTAGGCCTACGCGATTATTTTTAGATCAGTTTGTTTTACGTGTGCTGAGGATTTTTCTGTTCTCTTTAAAATCGGTTATTTCGGAATTTTACTACATGCTTAGAAATTTTCGGATATGACAACCACCGTTTCTCCTTTAGTTTCACCAGAGGTTGTTTCTCAACTGAACCAGGTTTTATCAAACTTGGGTTCCAACGACAACAATCTTCGTTCAAGTGCAGAGAAACAATTGAATGAACAGTGGATCGCACAACAACCGGACTTATTGCTACTCTCGTTGGCACAGCTTGGAAGAACACATAAAGAAACTCACGTAAGGATCCGCTTAAAGGTTTATTGATGTGATAAATTTGAGAAAGAAATATTAAGATTTATTAAGATGGTTTATACGCTTCATCATTTTTGATTGTTGGTTTATAGTACCGTTCATTTTCATTTGTATTGTTACGGAGACTAGCATTCAAAGCACCAAATCAAGCCTCAAAACTTGATGAATTAACTATTTGGGACCTTCTTCAAGAACAAAGTAGGCAAGCTATCAAAAATGAATTATTAATATCTTTATCAGTAGAACAAGAAAATACAGTGCGTCATAAAGTTTGCGATGCTATCTCCGAGGTAGCTAAAAATTCATTTCTTAAAGGACGTAAGTATTTATTAATGTTTGACCTAGTTTATTTAAGAATTTCATTAAGGATGGATTTTAATATTATTTTATGTCTTGCTTTATCATGTAGAAAAGTGGAGCGAACTACTTACTGCACTTATTGAAGCAAGCAAAACACCTTCTGCAGAACATCGCGAAGCTGCTTTACGTATATTTTCTGCGGTCCCTAATCTTTTAACTGATATACAAATAAATGAAGTTAAGCAAGTATTCTCAGCTAACTTACAAGATACCAATAACGCGGCTGTATGTACTTTATAATTACAAAGAAAATTATTATCTATTTTAAATATTTGACGCAAAATAATGTAAAGTACTTTTGTTTAGATACGTATGGCTGCATTAAAAGCTGCGGTCGCTTTTATGTTGGAAACAGATCAACAAAGCAGAAACTCCTTTGCTGAATTGATGCCACAGATGTTAGAGGTACAATTATTCTACATATTCACTATCACTAAATATGCAGAGCTTATATATAGAAATATATATGCATTAATGAAATAAAAGGCCGATGGTTATACTTGGAGCTTGACGAAGTGATTTTATAATTTGAATGCACCAAAGGTGCTTTCTCCACTTATAGCACAACGCGATGAAGATGGCTTGGTAGATGGCATTATGGTGTTCATAGAACTAGGAGAAAATTTACCAAGGGTATTTAGGCCAGTACTCCCTAGCGTCATGCCTTTTGCTATCAGTATTATGAAAGATAATACTTTTGAAGATGGCACCACTCGTCAAACAGCTCTCGAACTCCTACTTACATTATCCGAAGCTTCTCCGTCTATGATGCGCAAGACTCAAGATTTTTGTACACAAATTATTCCGATTTCTTTAGGAATGATGACAGAATTAGATGACTCTGAAGATTGGTATACAACGGATGATGTAAAGATTATATTTTATTTTGAACGTTGTTTATCAACCCATTTTTTTCAGAATTTTAGAATATTATATTCATTTATTACTTTTTAGCTAGAAGACGATGATAGTGATGAGAATTATGTTATTGGTGAACATGCAATGGACAGATTAGCACGTAACCTTGGTAATTTATCATTTTCATAGTTTTTCTTCGATTATTCAAAACTTCAAACATTTTTAAATATATGTGTATTTAGGCGGAAAGGCGGTTCTTCCGGTTGCTTTCCATTATATACCTCAAATGTTGGGGTCCGACAAATGGCAACAGCGTCATGCTGCACTTATGGCAATTTCAGCAATTGGCGAAGGATGTGTTAAGATCATGGAAGCTGAGTTAGGAAAAATCATTGAGTATGTATCTATTATGTAGTATAATCCTTTTTAATTCATTCGACTCAATTTGTTAATTTAATTCTCTTAGACTGGTCTTACCGTATCTTCGAGATCCGCATGCTCGTGTTAGATATGCCGCATGTAATGCTATTGGCCAAATGTCAACTGATTTTCAGGATACACTTCAAAAGAAGTTTCATAATATTGTCTTAACTAATTTGATTCCCGTAATGGGAGCTCCAGAACCAAGGTATTTATATATTTGTGTTTATCTTTCTAAATTGACCTTCTCTGACTTCTATTCATAATTCTACTAATTAAAGGGTTCAGGCTCATGCTGCGGCCGCATTAGTAAATTTCTGTGAGGCTGCTGATAAATCAATTCTCGAGCCATATTTGGATACTATTTTCGAAAGACTTTTGGTCCTTCTCAATTCAGGAAGAACTTATGTGCAAGAGCAGGCTATTACATCCATAGCTACTGTTGCTGATAGCGCCGAAGACAGATTTGTTAAGGTAAATAACAATTGAGTTAATATTGTTTGGTATAAATTTACAAAATTAAAAATTTTTTAAACTTAACAGTACTATAGTTCCATTATGCCCTTATTGATAAGCGTATTGAGAAATGCAACCCAAAAAGAATATCGATTATTACGTGGAAAAGCTATGGAATGTGCTAGTCTTATTGGTATTAAGTAATTTATTATTTAGAATAAATGTAATTAAATAATTATATAAATTAATCATATATTGTATTTTCTTAAAATTAGCTTTAGCAGTTGGCAAAGAAATTTTCACTCCAAACGCTGAAGAATTTATTACATTGTTGGCTCAGACTCAACGTGAGTTTAATAATTTTTTTTTTTTTGGTGAAAACAAAATTCGAAATCACGAGATTAAATTTCTTTGATTGTATTTAATTAGAATCTGTTACTGAACCTGATGATCCTCAAATTTCGTACCTTATTGCTTCTTGGGCCAGAGTATGCAAAGTACTTGGCGAGGAATTTGTACCTTATTTGCCCATTGTTATGCCTCCTCTATTGCAATCTGCTCAATTAAAACCAGATTTTGCTATTTTAGATCGTTAGTATAAATTTATTGACTGTGATGATATAGCAAATTAATCGATAACAATAATTAATTTTCTTAAATAGCCGACGATGATATCGAATCCAAATACTCGGCCGATGACGGCTGGGAATTTGTTGGAGTAGAAGGACAGGTAAGGAATTTTACTGTCATAAGTTTTGTGCATTTACCGAATTAATTATATTTATAACTTGTCTATATATAGCAAATTGGTATCAAGACTACTGTATTAGAAGAAAAATGTACAGCAGTAGAAATGCTTATTTGCTATGCGCGAGAACTTGGTTCTTCATTTCAACCATACGTTGATAGTGTTCTGGAAATTGTTTTGCCTCTATTGAAATTTTGCTTCCATGAAGGTATACGAAATGCGGCAGCCGCGACTATTCCGCATCTTCTTAACTCAGTCAAGAAGGCTAATGCTAATCAGGATTATGTTTTAAATATGTGGCATACAATTGCAAAGAAAATAATTGAGGCTATTATGGGAGGGCCTGATCCTAGCTTTTTATGGCAACTATATATTACTTTCTACGAATCATTGGAAACAGTTGGTGATAATAGTCTCGACACTTCTCTATTGGAAGCGTTTACAAACGCTACTGAAGCTCAATTGCAAGAATTCTATCAGAGACTAAAGCAACGTGAACAAGCTCGACATAGTGGCGATTATGATGCTGAAGATGAAGACATTATAGCCGAAGAGGAGGCAACCGAAGAAGGTGTCCTTGGCGAACTTTCAAAAGCTATACACGTTGTTTTGAAGACTCATCGAACATCTTATCTTTTATCATTTGATAAGTTGCTACCAATCGTCACCATATTTTTAGCTGACGCTAATCCAGCTGCACGTCAATGGGCGTTATGTGTTATAGACGATGTTGTTGAATTTACTGGCCCAGCATCATGGAACTATCATACTCATTTCTTGGAAAAGATGATTGCATCTTTATTGGATATAGGTATAGCTTTTTTTTTTTTTTTTTTTAGCTATTTATATGATAAAACTTTTTATCTTGTGGCTGATCTAATCTTTTAATGAATATTCAGCTTCCGATGTTAGACAAGCTGCAGCTTATGGAATTGGAGTCTGCGCGCAATTTGGTGGCGAAAATTATGCAGATGCTGTTGCAGGTATTTCAAATTCTATATTAATTTTATTCTTTATTATTATCTGAACATACTTTAATTATTATTTTATTAAAAAATCAGCTGCACTAACACCTTTATTCCAAGTAATAAATTCCGAGGGTTCACGGAAAGATGAAAATGTTTATGCAACAGAAAACGCGATATCTGCAATTTCCAAGATTTTAAAGTATAATCACAGTAAATTTGATGTTAATGCAGTAATTCCTGCTTGGTTTGCTAGTTTACCTATTCTTTATGATGAAGAAGAAGCAGCACAAACCTATACTTACTTGCTGGATTTGTTAGAATCGTAAGTTGATCACATGCTTTCTTGGTGCATTATTCAATACTTATTCGAATTCTTCTTTCCAATTTGTTAGTCAACATCCTGCAATTTTAGGCAATAATAATGAGAATATTCCTCGTATTATTTCAATCTTCGCTGAGGTACTTGCTGCAGCAATATTACCAGAAACCGTTTCAACAAGGATGGTTAGTGCGGTGAAAGTTATTCTAAGTAGCCTTTCAGATGACGTAAAAGCGTCGTTATGGAATTCTATCGATCCTGAAAATCGAAAAGCATTACAGGTAAACAGTTCGAATTTTTGAATTTAATGCCTTTAAAATCAGTAATAATATTTTAATAATTAATTAATTTGAAATACTTTTTTAGGAAAGGAATTACTTTTGAAGTCGCATAATTTATCGTGAATTGGTTCGTTATTGCATATCTCGATCATATATACCTTTACCTACCTGTTTACATTTTATCCTTTACTTCCTTATTTTTTTTTTTTTTTTATAAATTCGATAGAAACTTAATGAATAACTTTTAGAATAATAATTTGTACGAATTAGATAAATATAATTTTTAGTCTTATATTTCTATTTCGTCTCATCGAATTCTTATATAAATTTGTGACAAATTCTCTATTTAAAAGATATTGCAAAAATTCATATTTATTAAGTTCATGTGATTCATATCTATAACTATATCATCCTCTTTGAGCTAATAATGGATTTTGTATTGGTATTCGAGTTATACTTTTTTTTTCCTTATAAAATATAAACTAATAAATTTAAATCTATAATTGTATAAATAATTAGCCAAGTTCCCAAATTTAACGAATAAGGCAATTCACTAAAAATTGACCTTATTTTTGTAGGGTTATTAATCATGTTGTTAGAACAAAAGCACGTCATTAATTCGAATTAAATAGAATGGGTTTTCCTTTTCCTTTTCCAAAATATGAAGATTAAAAATGAAATTGATGAGACACTTCAGCTTCGAAATAAAAAAACTCCAGATCAAGAAGGAATGATAGAAAAGCATGAAATAGTAGAACAAAAGGAAGTCGAAAAAGTAGAACAAAAGGAAGTCAAAAAAGAAACTCCGTTGACTCCTAAAGAACAAGCAAAATATTGGATTCAGACTATATTAATTTTAACTGGTTTCATTGCTTTAGCTTATATGTTTTTACCCTCAGTAAGTTAATTTTAGATTCTTTGAAACTAAACTTTTTAGATTTTCACTAAAGCTAACTTTGTTGTATAAGCTTAATTTATGAAAATTATACGTAATTGATACTGTTTGGTACATTAAAGAAACGATTTTAATATATTCTTATCACAGATGACTTCACAATATCCTTTCGAAGAACTTGCTAATTCAACAACACAATTAGTTGAAGATATTATTAAAGTAGATTTACCATGTAAATTTTTGTTAACAATTAAATTAGATATTTTAACAACAAAATGTTTATCATTTTATCATTTCTATTTTTAGCATCTGGTACCGTAATGGATGGAACAGTATCAAGTCGTAGATTTGCAAATATAGTTGAAGATAGTCCGGCATTCAAAGAGACAGGTCCATCCATCGCAAGTCTACTTCGAAAATTTTCTGACAAAATAATGGATGCAGGAATAGCATTAGAAGATATGTATCGTAAAGGTGACATGTTATTTTGGGTACTGAACAATGAAATTTCTGAGATGATGAAAAAACTGAATCCAAGCTTATTTGATAGCTTTTTTGATAAGGAGGATGAAGCATTTTTTAAAAGTCGTATACAGGAGATGATTAATAATATCGAGGAATTTAGAAGAAAAGTTACTGATGCAAGAAAAGCTATTGTTGATGCTGAAGAATACAGAGGTCCTGCTGAAAAGAAGGTTCGACAAGGTATTGCAGAGGCAATGAAGTTTATTCATCGTGGTCCAGACATTCATGAGTATAGGCTTAAGTTGAATGAGGAAGAATATTATCTGGAAAAAATTGATGATGATAAGGCTATTGATGTGTTGAATGCAAGGGATGAATTAAAGCATGCGGAAAATGTGTTAAAAGTTTTAGAGAAAAGTCATGAAGCTTTGGATTTAATTAATAAGATTTTATTGAGTTATAGAAATAAATTATATGATGTTGAAGCTCAATTGGACAAAACAAAGAAAAGTAAAATAACTAAAAAGGATTTGGGAAAATTAGAGAAATTAGTTGATATGTTGAAAGATAGTCAACAAAAATTCATTGGTAAAGATACGTTAGGTGATAAAGGTAGCACAAAAATTTATACATAATTGACCTTGTAGATAATAGGAAATCTAGGAAATCTTTAGTTATTTTTTTTTGAGCCTCCATTGCATCATTATAAATAAAAAACTTTAGTAAAACATAATGTTTCTTTTAAGTGGACGATTAACTAACCTTTTTATTGGTTCAAATTAATTGAATATAAAAATTTAAAAATAATAAATTTTTACAAATCTTTTAAAAAATCGATGAACAATTAAAGAAGGAAGAAAAGCTTTTTATTTAACAAATGATATGATTCAAAAACGTAAGAGGAAACGTTTTGATAATGAAGACATATTTTCCAAATGACTTTTGCACAATTTATTTTGTTCTAATTTACTAATGTAATAAATCACGTTCTTTCACTCAAAAATGCATTGATGATAAAGTATCGCAATATCATATTTTTTTTTTTTAAAAAAAAAAAAATTTGTCGAGAAAAAAACTATTGGTTTAATAAGGTTATAAGGAATATACTCATTAAAAAACCAATACAATTAACTGTCAATAAATATTAAAAATAAAATAATAATAATAATAATAATAAAAAAAATAATTGATGAATGATAATGTCATTGCAATTAAATATCTACCACTAAAAAAAGGAAAAAAAAAAAAAAATACAATGAAATGATTATTACATATTTCTAAAATAAAATAAAATAATAAAATAAAATAATAAAATTTTTTTTTTCACAAAATTTCTTTAAACATGTTATCTATCTCTCTAACTAATCCGTCCATGAATGCTTGATCCGTGCATTTAATTTCAATTCTTATATTTGCTTTAATATTATGATTATTTAATTCATTTTCCTCTACATTCTGTTCAATAAATAATTTTGCTAATCCTGCAACTTGATACCCTTGTACACTTTTACCGTAAATAGTTATTGCTGAAGGTATTTCTTGAACTATATGTGTCCCAGTTGCAATAGAAGTTAATCTTATTAATTCATCTTGAAAAGTTTGTTCAAAAGTACGATCGGTTGGATTCAATTGAATCAATGTTGATCCGGAGAAAGGAAAATTTGACGATTCTGAAACGATTGAACTGAATTGTTCTGGAGTGATTTTAGGAAGATTAAGCATAAACACTGATAATGGTAATTCAAATTTGATAGGTATATTGTGGATTATCGCCTCTTCCTCGTCCAATGACTAAAGCATTAAAATTGGGTTAGAATTAAAGGATGAAATAATTCTTTAAATAACAAATGTAAAAGTATCTTAATTACCGGTGTTGAATAAGACACGTTGCCGGACACATTTAAACGCACACCTACGATTCCCAAAACTTTAAACTCGATATGTATTTCTTTTTGTTCATTACTTTGTAATTCACCTATTTCTAGTGACGCATTATAAAATTGAATGTCCGATGTAGATTCAAAAGTAAATGATAATTGAATTAATGAATTATCCGATATTTTATTTCGAAGAGTAAAATCGGCAATGATGGCAGGAGGTTCATTTTTAATTTCGGTTGCAGTTCCTAGATGTAATGTATAAGACTGAAAAAAAGGTAAATTAGTATTAATGAAAAAAAAATCTTTGGAATTCATATTTCTGATCTAGTAGAAACGTCGTTTCAGATACAGGAAGGCGCGAAGCCTTTAGGATGAAGCAATGCCTTTGTTCACAACTCAAGTGTTGGACGATTCGAATTCTTTATATATAGGGGAAAAAACTTACAACGTGCAAATCGTCCAAATCTAATAAAGTCTTGACTGGAGTATTGATGATTTCATATGGTCCATTTGTATCTTGAATGTTTTCGGATATCACTTGTTCGGACACAGATTTCTTCTTTGATTTCTACAAGATTAAGAATAAGTTTCGAAAAAATTGCCAAAAATTCCTGAAATGTAAAAGGAATTATACCTTTTGAATACCATTCTTTTTACTCTTTTTCTTAGGTCCTGTTTCTTCTGTATTCTTTTTCTTGGAGGCCTTCTTCTTTTTGACAGGTTTCTCCTCACGTTGATTTCTTGTTTTCGATGTAGTATTAGATGTGATTTTTGAAGAAGCTTTTGATCCAGATTTCGACTTTGATTTTTCACTCTAGCAGGAAAAAACGATATTTAAATAAATAACCCTTTTTCTTTTTTTTTTTTTTTTTTAAGAAAATGATTGTCAAAAGTCTTTTTTTAATTTCCTACTTTGTTCTTTTTCAAATGAGCTGCTTCCGACAACAATTTAGCTCTCTTCTCTTCTTCTACTCTTCTTACTTCCTCAGGACTAAGATAAACTCTCATTTGTGGAAACTTTTCATCATCTCCTAAAGGCGTTGATAAATCCACGTTAGCAACACCTGAAAAATCAACATCTAAAATGCCACCATTCTTTTCCGACACATTCCAGACTGTTTGTCGAACATTGTTATTTTTAGCTTCTTTCTCGTCATCAGATATAGTAGCATTCTCCGGCATTTCACCAATGTCAGTATAAATGACTGGAGGCATTGATGGTGGCGAAGGCGAACGCCGATCCGCTTTCTTAATTCCTTTTGACCTTTTCGATTTTCCAGAAAACTTTCTATTTGCTAAGGAAAAAAAAAATTTTAAAGGAAATGATTACTATCAACCGTTATATAAATTAATAAACGTGCAAGGTTTTATAATCCATAAATATCTACATTTGAAATCGAATTCATTCATAGTTAAACGAACTACTGGTATTGAATCCACGTCAATCTCTTCGATTTTACGTGGTGAAGGCAACCCATCGGACTTTGATAGTTTCAGTGGAGTTTTTTTGTCATCGTTAATGTAATATGGATCATTCTTAATACGTTCCCTTCTTTCATTACGACGCTGTAATCGTTTAAAAATTCCAACCCATTAATCATTTTAAATATATAAAATTTGATATCGCAAAAATTGTAAAATGAATTCTGATATATACTTTCTCTCGAATTTCCTCATTCTCTTCACTTTCATATCCACCCTTTCTTCCATTTTTCCTTCCTCTTCTTCTACCAACAGTGGATCCATTACCACTTGAAAATATTAAATCTCCACTTCCACCAATTTTCTGCCCATAACCATATCCATAACTTTCCTCCTCTTCTTCACTTTCACTACTTTCTGACACTGGTAGCGGCTCATTAATCCAAGCATCCAAATCAAGTCCCTCTGGTATAGGGACTTTCTTTTGTGCTTTAGGAGCAACAGGATTGAGTTCGTATGAGAAGAAAAGCGGTGAAAGTTCAGTGATTATTGTAGGGGCTTTCGCTGGAGAATATTCATTTTCATCTTGGAAGTTATTCTCTCCATTAACCAAATTTTGATGAATAATGGAAAATATTTCACGTATATTATATGCCTAATAAATTTTAGGTATGAGATATAAAACTTGATAAAATTATTTTCATGATTGAATATGGTCAATAAAGTTTACCCTCTCTTGAACTTCCAAATCTGTACACGAACCAAAGATTCCAATTTTATCCTTCAGTTTGGCAGTAATCTGTATTAACTCTTGCTTAACATCATCATCCCAGTTGTAGACTAGACTATTCGCCCAATAAGAATAAATTTTCAAAACTGCGTGAATATATACAGCTTGAACGCTATGCGAAAGTTTTGTAACACCGGGTTGAACAAGGAACTCAATTGTCTCAACATGATTTTCCAAATAACTAAAAATCAAATCAAATTATTAGAACAACTGAACTTGAGTAAAATTTCACAATTACTTACAACATTAGGTTATATAATCAACCTGCAGAATTCTCCAGATATCCATGCCGCAGCATAAAGCACTTCAGCATTTGAATCTGAAAGTTTACAATTTTCTAAAAGAGTTGTATCCGAAATCAATCGTTGCTAAAACGATAAAGTCAATATATGACATAATATATAATATTAATATAGCGATTTAATGGATGTTTGAATCACCAAGATAACTCACCATGGTCTTTACGCAATATTGCCGTACACTTTTGACACGAACACCGACATCCATTATTTGTTGGGCTAATAGTTCTCCGACATTTACTTCAGCTACATAAGTCAAATCTACCAAGACAGCAATATACCATTCAAAATTCGAGATGTTACTATACGAATTTTGAGAACAAATGTAAATAATACGATTTATAATATTAGCCCGGTAAGCAGGCTCAAGTAACGTGGATGGGGGTGGATAACTTGTTGATGGGTCAGAAGTACTTGATGGTAAAAGGTGTGCCATCAGTCGCTTAATAATGTCTGAGCAATTTTTCTTGTTAACCTTATCAGTGTGTGTTTAACATATAAATAATTAGTGATTATGAACATCGGAGCTTTTAAAGAAATTTAAATAAATCCTACCATGCCAACGACTAAGTCCAAAGCACGTAATCTAATACTAATATCAAGGTCATCAATACATTTCAAAATTATATCTTTATGTTCTGAAACTAATTTTGGATGAGTTGGGAGAATTTTGGCTAATGCTAAAAGTCCCACATATTTTACTAAAAAAAAAAAATATTATTATTTTAGTATAATAAATGCATGCATCATAAAAAATCTCAATCATGTAATTACATAAAACGTACAATTTTGATCTGGATCTTCTAGAAATATCCTCAGCTTATTGACGCACATAGCAGCCAATGTATCAGAACTTCCACTAAAATTTAACATTCCACCTGTTATGACTGTATGTATACATTCATACAAAAGTGACATGGCCTGTGTTGTCTGTATTTGTTGTGTGACTGACGGTAATAATTTTTTGGCAAGTCTAGGTTCAAGTGGCGTTAATGCTCCAAACTAAAAAGATGAAAACAAACAAATTATTAAATAAATGATGTTCTAAATGATTCTACGATTTTTTAAAACAATTTTGCTTATATCATATATATATACCAATTTAATAATTTTAATCAGCATCCAGTTATTTGAAGATGTATTTAATATTTTAAATAATTGAGGTGCAAGTGATAAATAATTTTTTGGATTTTTCCTTGCCAATTCACAAATCACATTGACAACAGAACATACGACCGCTTTTTAAAAGAAATAAAAAGTTAATTCCAAATACAAATTGAAGGATAACAACAAACAACAATAACAACAGCAAAAAAAGGAAACTCATACATGGATCTGGATCATCTAATTTTTCCTTTAATCTTGGGAAGCTTAACCTTAGAGCTTCGGGATATTTAAGGAAAAGTTTATATAGAACGAGAACAACTTTTTTCCTCACATATGGACGAGAATGGTTAAGCATTGAAACCAAATCTTGACATAGATCACGAGCAAGATCTGGTGTTACTATATGAGCTAAGCCATTAAGCGCAACTCCTACTTCAAGATGATTGCCTGAAGCAAGATCCTATTAATAAAATTTCATTATTTTAAAAAAATTGAATTTAGGATTAAAATTGAATAAAATAAAATCAATTTTTTTTTTTTTTTTACCTTTTTCAATAAATTTGTGGTTAACATTAAAACATCGGTATCCTGCCGAAATGATTGTGTGGCAGCCAAGTACCCTGATCTTTTCTGAAGAAATTTTGCTGAGGACATAACCTCAACGACATTAAATGATGCCCAGGACATATCATATCCATGCATTTGAAGCTATAAGTAAATTGAGAATAAATAAAAAATAAAGTTGAAATGAAATGAATTATACTTTAGAAATGTTATCGTTGAATATCTTCGTTAAAGTCTTGAATAAAAACTGTAGATTTCTTTTTAAAATCTAACTTATACGAAGAACTTTTCCCAAGTGATAACGCTGATTTTTAAACATACATAAGTTAACTTTAAAATAGCTGTCGCTTTTACATCGGGGTCATTATTTTTAACCTCTTGACGACATTCTTGTATACAAGCCGCAATATATTTCTGTTCGTTTTTCTTATTTGCGCGAATGCCGCGAATTAGGTCTGTTAATGACTTTTCGAACATTTCCAAATTAAAAAGTTCAAACAAATAATTATAACTATTCATTAATTCAGAAATATTCAATTTTTTTACCCATTTCGACCGACGACTATCAGATGTAGATGTTGCACTAACACCGTGCTACCGGAAAAATATAAATAATCCATTTTTCAAATTTTTTTTTATTTCCCTTCCCAATCTTATTTTTGACCTAGAAAACTTTTCCTTTCAAGTCATGTCAACAGCAACGATAGGAAAAGTACTGGGATGGATAAGTTTTGTTACACTTCTTCATTCTACGTATTCTACTTATGAACGTATGTTTTTATGAAAATAGATTTTTATAAATCGCGAAACTTAAAAATTTATTTATTGCTTGGTTCATTTAGACCTATCATATCTGAAAGTTGTTGAGAAAGTTGCAAATAATATGCCTATTGAGGTAATTTTAATTTTTTTAAGCGATAAAAATAAATTGCATTTGAATAACGATGATAGCTATTATTTTATTTGTGAATAGATTATAGTCGAATGCCTCGTTTCCGTATTAATATTTTCAATTAGTATAGTATTAATAGCGGGTCCTTTAAAACCTATATTAATGAAAAATGAAATGGTGAAAAAGTAAAATCGAATCATTACAATTTAATTTTATAATTCATAATTTCCGATTTACTTTCGCTAATTTAAATTTTTTTTTTTTCATATAAAGGTCTATCGACAAAGTTGATACTCGCCCTTCTTTCAATACATTTAATCATCGAGGTAGAATAATTAAATCTTCTTTGAATTAAATATTTTTTTTTTTTTTTTTTTTTTTTTTTGCTCTGAGATAATTCTCAGAACAATAAATTATGGATCCAAAAAATTTGACGAGGAACAATTTTTAATTTGAATTTGAATGAAACAAAAAAAAAAAAGTTAAATATATTTTAAACCAAAACCTTTAACAGAAGAATAATATAAACCAAAAAAAAAAAGAGAGGAGAAAAAAGATAATAATAATAAAATAAAAAGATCAAAAAATACTATTCATCTGAACTACTACTTCCATGTTTTAGGAATTCTGATAGTCGCACAGGAGTATCTCCTGTATGTTCTTCTTCCTGAACTTTATGTCTATGCTTGTGTTTCTGTTTAATTGTTTTAATGGAAAAATCAAAAAGAAAAGATTAAAAATGTTGATATTATTTGAAAGCATCTAATATAAATCAAACCTTATGAGAATGTCGACGATGATGATGGTGATGATGTTTTTTGTCCTTGTTGTCATCGTCGTTGTTGTCCTCGTCAATCTTTTTATCTTCGAATTCCTCAGAAGATTCATAAGCACCTGGTTCTATGCTACTACTTCTTTCCTTACGTTTCGAGTGCCTATCATGTCTTTCCTGGCAACGTTTCATGGCAATTAAAGATATTAAAAGTAAGAATTGAGCTCATCATTCCTTCCGAGAATGAATCACAAACCTTCTCAACATCAAGCACATCTTCATCATCCATTCTACGTTTCTCATAGTCTTCATAATATCCATCTTCACTAAAATTTCTATTTCCGATAGGACTATGGCTCTTACTACCTCGAGTAAGACGTCCATCACTTTTACTTCGTTTTCTTTTATTATCACGATCATGAGAAGAGGAACGATGTCGACGACGATGATGATGATGATGATGTTTTTTCTTTTTCTTTTTGCTCGAACTACTACCACTTACGCCTTTAAGTTTAGCGTCTCTTTCGTCATCCAATTGTTGCCGATACTGAACTAGTTCATATTCCGAGAATTGCGGTCCATCAACTTCCGACTTTAATTTACGAAATTCGTCCCTCGAAGAAATTAAAGGAATGTAATAAATAGCGCATTTGGTTGTAATAAGCGACATATGAATGAGTGACATAAATTCGACAAAATGGAAAATACAAAATACGGATCGTTTACCACGTCATTCCTCCCTTTTTACGAGCATCAATATATTCACGTATTGATCCACCTCGTTCAGTATTCGCCATTTTCAGCCTTACTTTTTTTTTTAAAAAAAAAAAACCAATATATATCGAATATCATAAGGGAAAAAAACCGTGTGAAAACGAAACCAGATTTTTTTGTCACGGATTTGGTTAAAACACGATGTGATTTTGCGAAACGTGAAGTCATTTAGAACACATTGTATCACTTGAAGACTTTGAAACATTACTGCGTAACATAATTTACCTTCTTATACAAAATGCTCATTTTTTTAAATAAAAAATAAATTTTTCATCAACTATAAAGAATCAAAATTAGTTGAAATGTTTGCAATGACAGGTTGTTTTAAAGTGGCAGTTCATATCAGAAAAATGATTACAGATATATAAAGCTTAAAGTAAAGTAAAAGAAAAGTTATCAATTAATTCATTTTTAAATATTTTTAAATTCTATAACAATAAAATAAATATATGATAAATATCATATTATCCAATTAATAAAATATAGTAATAGTTGCTTTATATTACCTATTAAGAAATTTATTTTATATATTTAAATTATTAAAATTGAAAACCAAGATTTTTATTTATAAATAAAAAAAAAAAAAACAATTTATTTATTTTTAATTTTTATTATCTAAAAAAAAAAAAATAAGAATAACTACTTTGAATTCTAATATATATATTACATTACTATTAAATGTAAATTATATTATATATAATTAGTTTTAAAGTAAATATAATAATATAATATTTATAAAAAGTATTATAATATCATTTTGAAATTTACATTCAATTATTTAAATTTTGTATAAGATTTGCATGCTTTAAATACAAAACAAAAAGGAGATATAAAAGTCGGATTTTAATTAAGGAATTAGAAATATCCCCAATTAGTTAAAGTCGTCAACTCTTCAATTAATCCTAGTCAAAATTGTTCAATCGAATGATAAAAAAAACAACAATTTATTATTATTATTATTATGCATTTTTGTAATAACTAATGAAGTTTTTTTTTTTATAGTACAAAAAATAAAAATGATAGCAGTGTTTGTTATTTAAATAAAGATCACATTCATGCGTAATTTGTGGGGATGAGGAAATATAATGTATGAAATTAATTTGCGTTTCTTTTTTTTTTTTTTTTTTTTTTTTTTTTAAAAAAAAAAAAAGAGATACTACAAAATATCTAATACCTGCTCTTAAAATAAATAGGAGGAAGGGAAAAAAGAAATAAAAGAAATAAATTACTTAAAATAATATAAAAATCAAAGGGGATAGTATTAAAGGGGAAAAAAACATATACAACATAAACCCGTAAAAAAAAAAGAAAGAAAAACCAACAATGAATCAAAAATAAATAAATATATATATATAGGATAAGAAAGAGTAAAACGAATAAACTACGCTATTATGTTATAGTGATTTACATCAATTAATATCACAGTTATCGTACGCAAACTAGTGATAACTGATATTTATCAATGCAAGCACACTATAACGAGTGAGCATTTGATAATACAAAAGGTTTTTAATAAGATATTGAACTCCTGCTTTTGCAATTTCTAAACTTCCAACTCTATAATTTTGAGAATTTTCAAATTAAAAGGAAATTTGACAAAAAAAGTCTATTAATAATAAACATAACGTTTTCAATGAGATATATTATAATGTAATAGTTTTTTCCTTTATATTTTATACAATGTATATTAAATGGGAGGCGCATTACCTTTCCGGAAGGAACACAACTTCCAAAAAAAATTTTTTTTTTTTTTTTTTTAAAAAAAAAGGGAGTTACGTTCCTTTCGTTGAAAGGATGCACTCTCCTTTCATAACACATTCCTAATGTCATTACTAGTAAAGAAGGTACAAGAGAGAATGAAGTAAAATGTGTGTAATGTATTGATGAAGAAAAATTAAAAATATATATATATTATAATAAACCCAGAAACTTGGTCATACATATTACTGCTAAACGGAACCTTTTTTTTTTTTTTTTTTACATAATTATACAGTTGCAGCCACCACCGGATGGTGCATAAGGATCGTCTCGTTTATCAACTGGCCCCCAAACGGATGGTACTAAAAAATCTCTAGTATTCTTGCAATATCGAATTAAACTGTAAATGTGTGACGTTCCAATGAATGCAAAACAGTTAAAATTATTGAAATACTTTATCATCCTTCACGACAAATTACCGTCAAAATGATTACAGAGAGACCATTCTAATCGAACGAAACATTTTAATTATCATACCTTGTACTAGCTTCACTGACTCGTACTCGGGGACGGTCTAAATCCTCACGAAGTCTTTGATTAAGTTCCACCAGCCGGCGGTACTTCATTTCTGCCATTCCATTCTGTTTATGTCTTTGCATTATGTTATTTTGTATAAAACGGTATATAAGGATTAAATTACAAGTAAAGGGTTCGGAAGTGTAATGATAATATTGGATTTAAAATGTCTACAAAATTGTAAAAAAAAAAAAAAAGTATTGATCGTTAGTGGGTGAGAACATTACGTTTATATAACAAAAATTCCAAAGAATGAAATTTCTTGATCGTAATAATGCAAGATGGAAAAGTCCTCTTGTATAAGGTAAAGATCTAACGCAAAACCATGTGTAACCTTCATACTACACTACTAAGAAGGGTTTCAACAAATTACAAAAAAAGATAGTTAAAAATGGAAATAGAACCGATAAATACCTTTTCTTTGCTTTGGGAAACTTTTCAATATTTTTAAAGAGATTATGATAAAATATTCGTTTAGACAAAAAGTTCAACTTGTTTATTTATTTTATTATTATATAAATTTTTTTTAAAAAAAAATTACTTCTTTTTGACCATCTAATCGAAAGGAGCTTTTCTTATTCAAGGATAAAAAAAACTCACCAGGAAGGAATGTGGTAGACCGAAGAGAATAAAAGAAAGCAAAAAAACAGAAAAAGGTGGAAACGAAGTTACCAAGTTAGGGTTTACAATACAAACAAGATTTTTGATTGACAGTAAAATGACCACTAGTTTTTCGGCGATTCTATCAATATGGTTACTATTTTCCACAATTATAATACCCATTGCAGTCTATATCTGCTTTGTATTCTTTGTGTTACACATGGTGTAAATTCGAAAATTTTTGGTTGTAAAAAATTTTGTGTTAACCTCATTAAGGAAAAGTTAATCGACAAAGTTTATAAGTGGTTCGTTTGTTTATATAGTTAAACGACAAAAAAAATCCTTGTTAATTGAAACGAACACATGTATTGGAATCAACGGGAACATTTCCGGGAAGAGAAACGTTTCTTTCATCAATTATTGCGCTTTGACCATTTATATAGCATAAATAACTTTCAAAAATGATGCATTCACCTTATCTTTTTTAAATTATAAATGATGATGATAAATCTTATCTTCAAGGAATATTCCCATAAAGTCACGAATTAGGGAGCACATCCAAAGTATAATCTGAAATAAGATTAATTATTCGAACAAAGTATATTTGGGGCGTTCTGCAACAAAGCAAATTTAGGGGGCCAAACGTCAAAATTGTACTACCATAATTATTTTTATTTCGTTTCGGGACTAAATCGTTTCATAAATCCAAAAAGTATATATAATTCAATGAAAGTCCGGTAGACTCTTCTGATTGCCTTTCTAAAAGCAGCAATCGAAATGAATATCAAAGGAGCTTCTTTCTTGTTCCAAGTCTTATCTCAAGCAGAACAAATCTCATAAAAAGTAATTGATTACCTATTTGACCTTGAACATTTTTTCATCTTTAATCGCAATTGATTGATATTTATATTTTATTTTATTTAAATTCATAATTAATAAATTTTTTTAAACAATTAATTTATTTATTACAAATATACAAATATTTACTACAAAAAATATTCTGTATCTAAAAAAAGAAAATATTAAAATCTTAAAATTAAATATTGTCTTAATTTTAAATTTATTACTTGAATTCTATTTGTATACGGGGTGAAACATAACAGGATATAAATAACATTTTTAGTACAGTGAGGCGTTAACTCTAATTTCGAGTATAAATCTAAAAATTAGAAATTTTCTTATTTTATTAAAAGAAATAATTTTAAAAATTTAATCTCTAAATTTGTTAAACTATATGAGGCATATTGCAACAAAATCAAAGTGAACATTGGTATTATCAAGAATTTCAGGAATCAAAATTTCATCATTATTATCACAATTGTAATGTGATTATAATTTAACAGTTTTATAATATCTCATTTGTTATTTTAAGTGATATAAAAATACCCCTATATAAAAATAGTTAATATGAAATTAATTTATATCAGATCTACTATGGAATCCAAGGATTTTAGTATTATCAGAAATATTTTAAAAAAAGAAAAAAGAATAAGATTAAAATAAATGATACTTAGAAACTAAAAACCTATCTAAAGAATTATAAATATTAAAAAGGAAACAGAATTAAGATGTATTATTATCTAATAAAAAATAGAAATTCTTAGAAAAAAAATAATCTCATTGTTATAATATTGATTTATTTTTTTTTCTTTTTAATTCTTTTAATAATATAAATTTAAATAATTATAAAATCTAAAGTTATATTTATTATTCATAAATAAATTTATTATTATAATTTTCTTTTATTTTTTAAAATGTTTTTTATATTTATTAATAGCTTTTAATTAAAAAGAATATAAATCTTATTTTATCAATAATATTATAGCTGCTTTTTTATAATCATTAGATTATTATCAATAAAATATCAAAGTCAAAACATTTTTTTAACTTACATTTAAAGAAAATAATTATTATTTTCTTTAATAATTGAAATAAATTTCAATTTATATAGAGAAAAATTATTTTTTATTTTTAATCAAAATCATTTCTTAGTTTTTTAATTTCAATTTAAGTAATTTAATCATTTTTTTTCTTTAACTTCTTATTTTTCTCTTTTAATTACTTAATTTTTTTTTTTTTAAATCCTTTATATTAACCAATAATTTTTGCTTTTTCTCTTATATTACTTTCAGATTTTTTTTGAAATTTAATTACTTTTTCTTTTTTAATTTTTAATTCTTTTTTAATTTCATTTAATTATCCTTTCATAAAAATTTATTTGTCTCTCATAAAAATAGCTTAACTTATTTCTTCATTAAGAAAAAAAATTCTTTTTCTTTTATATTTTCTTCATATTTGATACAAAAATAAAAATATTACTACTAAAAACTTTAAAATAATATCTAATTTGTAATCTATTATATCTCTATCATTTTAATAATTTATCATTTTTAAATTTTTGTTTAAAATTTTAATAAACTACATCATTTGTAACATATTTATTATTTATTAATATAAGCTATTATTTGATTAGTAGACTTATTATTCTCATAAAGATTGAAACAAAAATTATAAGATTCTAACTTATTCTTTTTAAATTTAATAATATGTAAGTTAGTTCTTCATTAATTATCTGCTTATTTCAATTTAAATAACTAATTTTTGCATTTAATATCTTTTATTTTATACTAATTAATAGTTTTAGTTTTTATTTTTGTTTTTAATTGTTTAAATTAACTTTGCTTTAATAAAAATAAATTACGTAGATTACATAATATAATAATCTTATAATAAAATTATGAAAATATTGCAAATATTACAATTCAAAATTTTGTATAAATAGATAGACTTTTACTTATATTGTAAATTAACTCTTTTACAAGTATAAATTTTAATATTATAATAAAAGAATCAATTAAAATTTATATCTTTTTATTTTTTTACATTTTTATATAATCTAATATAATTCTTACACAAAATTTGTAATTAGTTTATCATCTGAAATGTTTAATTAAATTATTATAATCTTTTCTTTTAAGTCTTTATACTAAATAGATTTGTTAAATTTAATATATACATTTGATTAAATTAAAAATTAGGCAGATTTTAATGTCTTAATTACAAATAATAATCTTAAATAAAAAGTTAAAAATATAGTTAACTTTGAGTTAAAGAATTTTATAATGATAGCAGATAAATCCTTTTCAAATAAATATATATAGACCAAATTAAAAGTATTAAGATAAAATTTTTGAATAAGTATACAAAAGTGAGAGACTTTCTGGCTTCTTTTCTGATATATAAATTTATAAAATCTTTATTAAACTCTATATTAACTTATAAAATAAGAAACTATATTATGAATTTAATATAGAATTTAAACTTAAAATCAAACTGGATTATTTTCTTGCTATCTAAAATTTCTGATATTAAAATTGTCATAGAATTAGACCTGAAATACCAAAAATAAACTATTTCATATAGTCTTTCTAATCTAATTTTAATCTTAAATAATATAACAAAAAAGTATAATATATTGCTTGTCTTAAAAATGAGCAAAGAACACTAAAAACTAAAGTAACTAAGTATGCTTTTTGTAAGTCTTTGTAAGTATAAAATATATACCAATATTTTATGTTATCTTAGAATTAATTTTAATAAGAATTTGTTATCATCTAGCAAATAAAAATTTATATTTAAAACAAACTTAGATGTAAATTTTTTAATTATATACAAGAAAGTTAAAAGGTTATAAAACATTTTCTAATATATTAATAATTTCACAATATATAGAAAACTATTTTGAAGTCATTTACTTTATATAAATCTAGGGTTATTAAATCTCACTTTAGATATAAAAAAAATTTAGTAGGTGAAAATTTTTTGGACTAAATATAAATTTTTATATTCAAATAAGTAAAATAAAAGCTTTAAAGTATATTTTAATATAATAATTTCTCAATACTATTTTTTTATAAATTTGAAAAAATGGTTCTAAAGAAACTAAACCTAACAGAATATATTATCAAGATAGGATAGGTCTCTTTGAGAATCTCAAAGATTAAAAAAGAAAGTATAAATTTTTTTGAATAAGGTTATTATATCAAACCTTCAAGTAAGTACTCAAAGTCCTATCCCAAAATCTATTAATATATTAGATTATATGGGTAGATTGTTAGGAAAATCAGGTTTCAGGAATTTTTTAGCAAAATTGAGATTTTTATTGCATTTTATTTTTTGATGTAATTAGATTAAAATGTATTAAGCTC